GTATTGTTGAGCATGTGAGACGTTCGTTGTGAATTATAGCGTGACTGTGGAAATTAAGTGTATTGCAAAGTTGTATTTAGAAAGAATAAACCAGTTTTATTTAAGAAAGGACTTGTATCGCTAAAGTTTCTTTGGAAAGAAATTATACGGAAAATTAACTAACGACCAGAGACGTAACAGTATGTAATCCCAATTATTATTATTACTAGGCCTATTTGTCTCGTTGCTTCGCCAGTTATCGGCACAAAACACTACAACATTGAATTTTTGTCGTCACATAAAATATATTATTTTAGAAAAACGTTTGGCTGCCATCATATTTCAGTCCAGCTGAAGAGTTCTGGTATTCAGATGCTTCAAATGCTATTTTTATTCATCTTATTTGCAAACGTGAACTAAATGTGAAAAACAAAAGTTGCAGTCTAAAATAATTGTTAGATTTATACCCATAAGAATGTCACATACTTTTTATAAACATTTTTGTGGTATTACAGGGATTCAACTTTCTATGAAACTTATTTTTAAGTTGAATCTTTTTTCAGTCTTTTTTTTTTTTTAAATCTTTTATTGAGATGACCTGAACAACAAAGTGGGTAAGCCATGAAAAATATTTGACAACCTAAAACACAGATTGAACACGACTAAACGACAAGTGGATGATCGTCTCTACAGGATCATAACTAATTTTAGTGATAACTCTTTATACCGGGATGCAATATGTTACGGTAATATCCTTTTGGGCATAATAGACATTATCTACTATGGAGAACAAAGTAACTAGAAGAAGGCAACGTCGGTTACTTTCTAAAACAATGTACAAAATTTTTATACGACTGTTTTTTGTTTTTTTTGTATATTACTAAAGCAAGTAGAAAACACTTATACCTGCTTATCACATAATGTTTACGCAATACTTTTGGAATAGTCCTATCAGGATTTGTTTTCTATTAGTGTATGGATATGCCATATTTAACTTGAAATCCATCACTAATTGATTAATCCTGGCTGCCTATGCTATTCTAATTAAGGTGAAAGATTCAGATATATTCAGTATTATATTTATAACTTCGAAGTGGATTTTCAATAGCTGACAGATACTAGCGTTTACAAAATGAGTAATACCTTACACGATACAAGGGTTAAAAGGCCAGATCATAGACCCCAAGGGCCATTCACAAGCATTCCTAATTTAGAACAGAAGGAAAGCAACCATCTGCTGTCTCTTAACCAACTAGAACACTTTTACCACTGAAATTACAGCATGTGATTGGTGGCATACTGTACCTCGAACCTTCCTATTCACAGCCCAGCATGCTAATCGTAACGCCTATATGTAAAAAATAAATAAAAAAATCCTGTGTATAATTTTACAGTTATAATTATTTTTAGTAATTATTTTCATAGCATAAAACTATTAACCGTACAATGGCTTCTACAGCCCTGATACTTTAGTTAAGTACGTGAAAGTTGAAAATCCTTGTTTTCTGGATGGAACTGGAAGCTAAATTGTTTTTGTGTTTTTATTTTTTTTTTTTTTTTTTTTTTTTTTTAAGTTTGGTTA